ATAATGCTAGGCTTAATTGATCATTAGAAAACCCTTTTGCAATTAAGTTAGCACAGCTGAAAACTGTTGTGCTGATTAAAGAAGCAATAAAACTGGCCTTCTTGAGACTAGTTGAGTATCTGGAGCATCAGCAATTGTGGGTTCGATTACAGGATCAAAATGGCCAGAAACAAATAACTTTCATCTGAAACTTGTCAGTCTATTCTTGTTCTGAGAAATGAAGGCTATTCCATGCGAGAAATTGCCAAGAAACTGAAGATCTCGTACAACGCTGTGTACTACTCCCTTCACAGAACAACCCAAACTGGCTCTAACCAGAATAGAAAGAGGAGTGGGAGGCCCCTGTGCACAACTGAGCAAGAGGACAAATACATTAGTGTCTAGTTTGAGAAACAGACGCCTCACAGGTCCTCAACTGGCAGCTTCATTAAATAGTACCCGCAAAACACCAGTCTCAACGTCAGCAGTGAAGAGGCGACTCCGGGATGCTGACCTTCAGAGTTGCAAAGAAAAAGCCATATCTCAGACTGGCCAATAAAAGATTAAGATGGGCAAAAGAACACACACTGGACATTTTCTTTGCAACTCTGCCTAGAAGGTCAGCATCCCAGAGTCGCCACTTCACTGTTGACGTTGAGACTGGTGTTTTGCGGGTACTATTTAATTAAGTAAATGAAGGTAAATGTTGCAATTCTTCAGCCATTCCTAAACCTGCGACCAAAAAAAAGCTACATATGGGCAGTATCAAAACAAGTGATCAAATGATTCTGTCTCTTCACAACAAAATCTACAGAGCTGGGCAGAGTTTTGATTCCGTTTTGTGTATCAGTTCATAAACCATGTGCAATGGAATCGGCACAGCGAAAATCTCTTCCCAGCTATTTTGCAACCTGTATGGCGCAGCTGTTAATTTTTTGGTTCTTAAATTAAACTGGTATACTTTTTTATTTATCACATCAGACATTTCCATATATTTTTGTTAGCTGCATGTGTGAAAACTCCACAATTTGAGTTTAACTATAATATTTGTTCTGTCTTTACTGGTGGATTAAACAGATATTGCAACTAGCTTTCTATGGCTTGTTTTAAAAATAGTGATATTCTGGAGATTATTTCATTTTCAAATAACCGAAAGTGAGAGGTTGTAGTCTGAATAATGTGGAAAATACCATTTTTGCAACACTGGGTGAGCCATACTTACTAATCTGCTGGAAAACCAGTTTGGATTTAAGTACAACTTTTGTATGACTGAAGCCTTTAGTAAGAGGTCCAATGCTTTAATAATTTCAGCCCTTCAAATTCATATTCATTATATAAATCGGCCCTTTTAAATGTTGTCTGGCTTGCCATTCCAAATAAAGTTGAATATCTTTTGCTCATATAATTAAAAAAACAAGTTGTTCGGTGTAGGCAGGACCATAAGTAAATAGGTAAACTGCGAGATGACTAAATAATTAATCAGGGTGATTTTCCCACAAATAGACAGGTGTTGTCCTTTCCATGGTAGCAAGATCTCATCTATTTTTGCTAACTTTCTATAAAAATGTATTGTAGTGGGATCGTTTCTTTCTTTCGGGATATGAATACCGAGTATGTCCACTTCACCGTCAGACCATTTTATTGGTTAACTACATGGTGATGTAAAAGTTGTTTTTAAGCGATCCAATATGTAATATGATACACTTATCATAGTTTGGTTGTAATCCAGAGAGGTTTGAGAAATTGTCTAGATCCTCGATGAGGCTGTGCAGGGATCCAAATTGCGGATTTAAAAGAACATGAGTCGTCAGCGTACAAGACGCCTTTGTTTTAAGCCTTGGATTTCTAGCCTCTTGATATTATTGTTGGATCTAATTTTAATAGCTAACATTTCGATCGCCATAGTAAATAGATATGTTGATGGTGGACAACCTTGTTTCACTCCGCTTGACAGTTTAATACTTTCAGAGAAGTATCCATTATTTACTATTTTACACCTGGGGTTGCTATACATAACATTAACCCATTGTATAAGAGATTCTTCTCAATTAAAATAGTCCATGCATTTATATATAAATTCTAGTCGTACTTTATCAAAGGCCTTTTCAAAATCAGCTATGAATACCAGGCCCGGTTTCCCTGATTTTTCATGGTGTTCTATTGTTTCCAGTACTTGTCTTATATTATCTCCAATGTCCATGTATTGTCTGATCAGGATGAATAATATAACTTTTTTTCAAATTCTATGTGCTAGGATTTTTGCATCACAACACTGAAGTCTAAGGGGCCTCCAGTATTTTAGGTGGACTGGATCTTTATATTTACCACCTGGATCCTGTTTCAGTAATTGTGAAATCAGACCTTCTTGCTGAGTATCTGATAGTCTACCATTTTTATAGGAGTTGTTAAAACATGCTAATAATGTACCTCTGAGTACATCGAAAAAGGTTTTGATATACAGTACCTCAACTCGTATGCCATCCAGCCCTGGAGTTTTCCCAGACTTATAGGCTTTGATTGCATCAAGAAGTTCCTCCTCTGTAATTTGGCCTTCAAGAGTCTTTCAGTACAACTGTTAATTTTACACTATTAATAGAAAAAAAATCCTTAGAATTAACTTCAGTTAGTGGAGATGGAGGAGACTGAAATGAAAACATATGCTTAAAGCACTTTGCTTCCTCTTTCAAAATATTTTTTGGTGAATTGTGGATGACTGTCATTTGTAACAAGTTTTTGTAAATTCTTTTTGGTAGCATTTCTATAATTTGGTGTATTTTTTCCGCCATATTCCATCCAGTTCACTTAATTTTTTAAATAATATATTACACTTGATCTTTCTTAAATAATTTCCTCCAGTACTTTTTGTTTTTCCTCTAACTTATATTCTGTGCATCTGGTACAGTTTTTATTGGTATCTACCTGTACTGTTAGTTCCTTTGTTAATATGAACTAAACTCAGCAAAAAAAGAAACGTTCCTTTCTAACTGTCAACTGCGTTTATTTTCAGCAAACGTAACATGTGTAAATATTTGTATGAACATAACAAGATTCAACAACTGAGACATAAACTGAACAAGTTCCACAGACAGTGACTAACAGAAATTGAATATTGTGTCCCTGAACAAAGGGGGGATCAAGTAACAGTCAGTATCTGGTGTGGCCACCAGCTGCATTAAGTACTACAGTGCATCTCCTCCTCATGGACTGCACCAGATTTGCCAGTTCTTGCTGTGAGATGTTACCCCACTCTTCCACCAAGGCACCTGCAAGTTCCCTGACATTTCTGGGGGGAAAGGCCCTAGCCCTCACCCTCCGATCCAACAGGTCCCAGGCGTGCTCAATGGGATTGAGATCTGGGCTCTTCGCTGGCCATGGCAGAACACTGACATTCCTGTCTTGCAGGAAATCACGCACAGAACGAGCAGTATGGCTGGTGGCATTGTCATGCTGGAGGGTCATGTCAGGATGAGCCTGCAGGAAGGGTACTACATGAGGGAGGAGGATGTCTTCCCTTTAACGCACAGCGTTGAGATTGCCTGCAATGACAACAAGCTCAGTCCGATGATGGTATGACGGACCCTCCACCTCCAAATTGATCCCGCTCCAGAGTACAGGGCTCGATGTAACGCTCATTCCTTCGACGATAAACGCGAATCCGACCATCACCCCCCCTGGTGAGACAAAACCGCGACTTGTCAGTGAAGAGCACTTTTTGCCAGTCCTGTCTGGTCCAGTGATGGTGGGTTTGTGCCCATAGGCGATATTGTTGCTGGTGATGTCTGGTAAGGACCTGCCTTACAACAGGCCTACAAGCCCTCAGTCCAGCCTCTCTCAGCCTATGGCGGACAGTCTGAGCACTGATGGAGGGTTTGTGCGTTCCTGGTGTAACTCGGGCAGTTATTGTTGCCATCCTGTACCTGTCCCGCAGGTGTGATGTTCAGATGTACCGATCCTGTGCAGGTGTTGTTACACGTGGTCTGCCACTGCGAGGACGATCAGCTGTCCGTCCTGTCTCCCTGTAGCTCTGTCTTAGGCGTCTCACAGTACGGACATTGCAATTTATTGCTCTGGCCACATCTGCAGTCCTCATGCCTCCTTGCAGCATGCCTAAGGCACGTTCACGCAGATGAGCAGGGACCCTGGGCATCTTTCTTTTGGTGTTTTTCAGAGTCAGTAGAAAGGCCTCTTTAGTGTCCTAAGTTTTCATAACTGTGACCTTAATTGCCTACCGTCTGTAAGTTGTTAGTTTCTTAACGACTGTTCCACAGGTGCATGTTCATTAATTGTTTATGGTTCATTGAACAAGCATGGGAAACAGTGTTTAAACCCTTTACAATGAAGATCTGTGAAGTTATTTGGATTTTTACAAATTATCTTTGAAAGACGGGTCCTGAAAAAGGGACATTTTCTTTTTTTGCAGAGTTAATTTTGACCTAAATAGTTTTTGTTTTAAAGATGAGTATTGAATTGCATGGCCTCTAAAATCACATTTTGAAAGTGTCCCATACAATAAGGGGATCTGCTGTACCTATGTAATGTAGGAAAAAGTCAGTTATAAATTATTCTGTCTTTGTTTAAAAATAAGTTGTCATCCAGTAGGCTTTGATTACATTTCCAATATCCTCGCCCACGTGGAAATTCTGTAAGAGTAACGTGTATGCCAATTATTTGATGGTCCGACAGCATTCTGTCCTCTTTAACTTTTAGTGCCAGCGAGAATGACATAAGAAAGTAGTCGAGACGACTAGCAGCAGATCATGCTTTTGTGAATGTTATGTTTTGATTGAAGATGTCAGCTATAACTCTTCTACAAGTTTAAAGCTAAATTGTTAGGCAACAGTGCTTGGCGAGGCAACGATGTAGCAATGTTGAATACAGGAAATAGCCTAATTGTACAGTACTCAGGCTACAGACTTAACATTTAGAGCTGCCCTTGATAAACATCAATGCTTCACTTGGTATTGACAGAGCATCCTCTGTTTCCATTGTGCCTTATTCTTCCCTCCATCTTGTCTCTGTCCCCACAGCGTTCAGCCTCCACCGGCCTACGCCCACCCCACGACAGCCAGCTATAATGTACAGCCAGCCAGGCCCGTGGCCTACCAGAACCACCCTGCCCCCCCAGACTATGGCTACCGGCAGCCGGACCCCACGCCCCAACCCACCACCACCCCACAGACATACCAGCTACCGGTATACACCGAAACGGTAAGTCCCAATTCCATTCCTTATCTTCCCATTGCATGCTGTCGTCGTGTTTTATCTATTAGCTATTGCAGTGGTCGATCACGATCGACTGGTCGAGCATCAAGGCATTCCTTGTCGATCACCAACATTTTCTGTAGAAAAGCCAACGATAAAGTCATGTTTTAAAAAAAAATCTTGGTAGATCTCTGCTTGCTTTTTGACTGAACGTGATCTTGACTCAGAAAAGGTTGGTGACCACTGAGCTATTGTATATAAATGCAAGTACCTGGGGAGAGTTTTAGATCGTTGAAGTCACATGAATCTGTTTTGCATACTAGTTACACTTTTCTGCCATGCATGTTTATTTTGTAAAACAACCTTTCAGGATAACTACAGTTACGGACGTCCGCCTGCAGCCACTAGTTATGAGACTAAGCAGTACTACCAGACGAGTATAGCTCCAGCCCAGAGGACACCAACAGAAGCTTACTACCAGACAGGTGAGTCATTGCCAACCTTATTCCCACGCATAATCACACATAAACAGTCATAATGTTGAAATGTTCTCTCTTGTCTGACAGTACATTGTTTTGTTTTTTACTGTGTTATACACTATTCATTTAAACACACTACTGTGCAAAAGAACTTGGCTGCTGATATACTGCAAAAGCCAGTATATTGAATATCGTTGAACTGGAGCCTGTTAAACAACACTGTGATGGTGTCCTTCCCTTCCTTATAGGCGTGAAGAGTGGCTACAGTCCAGTCAGCACAGTGTACAGCCAGCCGCCACCACCACAGAGGCAGGTCTCAGCTTTAAAGCCTCTGGCCCCCGCCAGCTCAGTGTCCACTAGCTACAACGTCTACCCAGTGTCCACCAGTGTACAGCAGCCTCCCATCTCGTCTTACACCCCCTGCTCCTCCTTCAACTCCACAGCTGCCACCTCCTACTCGGGTAAGAACGAGAGCTTATCCTCACACAGCCAAGGATCAACCTTTGTGAAATTCAAGCAAGCACAGCTTGCATATTTGTCACAGCGTATGTTCTTAGTGTGACCCCCCCCCCCCCCCCTTCTGCTCCGTCTCAACTCTCCATTTTTCACCTCCTCAGGCGTCAGCTACTCTACTTATGATTCGAGTGGCTACACTTCCACCCCCTCCTACTACCAGCCTGCTCAGCTGCCTCCTCCTCAGCCCCAGCCGCCGCCCATGCAGCCGCCTCCCAAGCAGCTCACCAGCTCCTCCTGGAGCAACGCAGGCAGCAACATGGTGACCGCTCCCACGGTCAACGCCTACAAGAAGCCCATGTTCCACCAGAACAAGCTTCAGAAGCCGAAAGGGCCGCCCAAGCAGCCCCAGTTGCACTACTGTGACATCTGCAAGATCAGCTGTGCTGGCCCGCAGGTAGTGGTGCTTTGTGGGTGATGCGTTATGAGAAGGACAGATTATTTGTTGGCAACGGACATAACTACTTTAGAGTCAAATGAATGTACAATATTGTAACATACAACAGTTAAACATGTAATGTGCCTAAGATTAGACGTACTGTAGCAACACAGGATGGAAAGTGTTTAATTTTTTTTATTTTGTTGAAGGTTTGATTTTGTAGGTATGTTGAATTAACTGTTGTTAAATTGTTTTCTCTGCAGACATACAGGGAGCACCTCGAGGGCCAGAAGCACAAGAAGAAGGAGGCAGCTCTGAAGTCTGGCAGCGCGGGGGGGAGCAACGGGCCCCGGGGGATTCAGACCCAGCTACGCTGTGAACTATGTGACATTGCCTGCACTGGCGTAGACGCGTACGCCGCCCATATCCGAGGGGCCAAGCACCAGAAGGTCAGCGCAGCTGCACTGACAGGAGTAACATCAGGCAACTAGCTAGCTAATTGATGCACTGTTTAGCTAGCTAATTGAGGCACTGTTTAGCTAGCTAATTGATGCACTGTTTAGCTAGCTAACTGATGCACTGTTTAGCTAGCTAACTGATGCACTGTTTAGCTAGCTAATTTGTCTAGATCAGCTCTGGGATAGTCACACATGTTGGTGTATCTTTAGTGGAACACTTTTAATCTGGTATTTATGTGACATCCATTTCATTGTTAATTTTATTTTATTTAGCCAGTATAGGCCACTCCGTAACAGTTGCCACTGTTTTCCAGGGAGTCCTAGGATCCCACCTCGCAATGTATTATGATGTTTTATTTAGGGCCGGAACGATACCAGTATTGTGGTACTTGTTAGTCACGTGGCAAGGAAACAAAACACTAAGTGGATTAACTTCTTTAGGAGAACCGCCCTAATGTTGGAAACAAACATCATTATGTTGTCATCCAGAGTCACATGTATTTATTTTCCAAGCTATAGCACAATATTTTACATACAGCAGGTTTTTAAAGGATCAAAGAGTTTGGTCTCCTTCGTGTTTTCATTTTTGCCATGGAAAAAATATTGCAATACTGGTATCGTCCATGCCCTAGTTTTATTTATCTTCCTCTTAACCCTGTGTAGGTGGTGAAGCTCCACACCAAACTAGGCAAACCTATACCTTCAACTGAGCCTGTTTTAGTGAACAATGCTCCAATTATCTCAACGTCGACAGCTGGGAAGACAACCCCTATCGTTGTTACAGCAACTGCCCCTGTAGCGCTACCCAAACCGGTGGTTGTAAACGCAGTAAAGGCCCCAGCACCTGTGAAGAAGCCAGTCACACCCAAAATAACCATCCTTGGTAAGTCTTCCAAGGAACAAGTGTTTATTAGTTGGAATTATGATATCTGTGCTGACAGATTAAACCAATGTTTAACTTAAGCAGTCATTTTGGACTCAAACTACAATGCTAAATTGCTCCATACTAATATTTTGCCTTTCTCTTGACAGCCAACAAGCCGGCAACCCCTCAAGTAGCCAAGGTGAATGAGGCCAAGCAGTCAGCAACAGCGTCTAAGAGTGAGACCACGAGTGACGATGAGGACGGAGATGGAGTGGGGAGGCAGGGGGACGTCCAGCCTGTGGGACATGACTATGTGGAGGAGGTAGGAGTTCATTTATTTCTAATTTATTTCATTGATTCACTAACCATGTTGTTAAAGATACTAAGGTTATGGTATGTTGTAATGCAAGTTATTTTTTTATCCTCAGGTGCGTAATGATGATGGGAAGGTGATTCGCTTCCACTGTAAACTCTGTGAATGCAGTTTCAATGACCCCAACGCTAAAGACATGCACTTGAAGGGGCGCAGGCACCGGCTGCAGTACAAGGTAAGAAAATGCATCGTATAGCGCCATCTTTTTGCAAGATGTTTCTAGAGCTAGCAGCTATGTACTACAATGCACTTATTGTATTGGCGAAATTAATTGACTATAACATAGGCCTTGAACCCTGTGACCTGTTGTACAAGCGTTATGTCAAGTCACTGCTAAACTAGCGCCACTAAATGGCAGACTTTGTTTAGGCAGGATGTAGACATTGCTTGACATGACCTGTAGCCCCTTTGTCATTTGGTCATCCGTTGAATTATGTATACCTTGACACATCATATGATGATTTATTTGCATGATAGCTATAGGCCTACCTCTCAGTTCGAGAGTCTGCTACTCACTCACTGGGTGTGTGATATGTGTGTGAATGTATGAATGACAGCTCTTGACATTGTTACTATCCCTTCCTTCCCCTCCTGTAGAAGAAGGTGAACCCAGAGCTGCCGGTGGAGATCAAGCCCAGTAACCGGGCCAGGAAGCTGCAGGAGGGCAAACTGAGGAAACAGAAACAGAAGGCTGTGCTGAAGAGACAGCGGGATGATGAGCAGCGCTGGCACTTGGAGATGAGGTCAGAGCCAGACAGCAGCTGGCACACAGAGATGAGGTCAGAGCCCTTGCTTAGGCACAGATCTAGGATCAATCTTACCCTCCCCAAATCCTAGCCTCATCAATTTGGGGTTAAGGTTTGAGCAGTGCTTAGGGTCATTCTTCCTATTTTTCGTGCTGATGATGTCAGCGGAAGGCAGAGCAGGGGAACCCCGCTGGTGGGTGCTGGGTAAACTCCCCATGTAGTTTTGCAGCCCACGCTGTCACACTGTGGTTCAACCACAAGGGGATTCCCCTGCCTTCCTCATTAATAGAGATATATTGATCTTATTATGCCTGTTCCCATTTTCATTACCTTTCCTCCTAATACATTAATAGAATGCCTGCAACATCTCAAGTGATGAGAACTCAAATCAAATGTATTTATAAAGCCCTTTTTACGTCAGCAGATGTCACAAAGTGCTATACAGAAACCCAGCCTAAAACCCCAAACAGTAAGCAATGCAGATGTAGAAGCACGGTGGCTAGGGAAAAACTCTTTAGAAAGGCAGGAACCTAGGAAGAAACGTAGAGAGGAACCTGGCTCTGAGGGGTGGCTGTTCCGGGTGGAGATTATAAGAGTACATGGCCATTAAGACGAGATTGTTCTTCAAGATGTTCAAACGTTCATAGATGACCAGCAGGGTCAAATAATAATCACAGTGGTTGTAGAGGGTGCAACAGGTCAGTACCTCAGGAGTAAAAGTGAGTTTTAGCTTTTCATAGCCGAGCATTCAGAGGTTGAGACAGCAAGTGCGGTAGAGAGGGAGTCGAAAACAGCAGGTCCGGGACAAGTTAGCATGTCCGGTCAACAGGTCAGGGTTCCATAGCCGCAGGCAGAACAGTTGAAACTGGAGCAGCAGCACGACCAGGTGGACTGGGGACAGCCAGGAGTCATCAGGCCAGTTAGTTCTGAGGCATGGTCCTAGGGCTCAGGTCCTCCCGGAGGGGAGGGAGGGAGAGAGAATTAGAGGGAACATACTTAAATTCACACAGGACATCAGATAAGACAGGAGAATTACACCAGATATACCAGACTGACCCTAGCCCTCCGGTACATAGACTATTGCAGCATAGGTACTGGAGGCTGAGACGGGGGGTTGGAGGACACTGTGGCCCCGTCCGACGCTACCCCTGGACAGGGCCAACCAGGCAGGATATAACCCCACCCACTTTGCCAAAGCACAGCCCCCACACCACTAGAGGGATATCAACAGACCACCAACTTACTACCCTGAGACAAGGCTGAGTATAGCCCATGAAGATCTCCTCCACCACACGAGCCTGAGGGGGCGCAAACCCGGACAGGAAGATCACGTCAGTGACTCAAACCACTCAAGTGACGCACCCCTCCTAGGGACGGCATGGAAGAGCACTAGTAAGCCATTAACTCAGCCCTCATAATAGGGTCAGAGGCAGGGGAGCCGGCCAGGCAGAGACGGCAAGGGCGGTTCGTCGCTCCAGTGCCTTGCCATTCACCTTCGCACCCCTGGGCCAGACTACAGTAGGACCTACTGAAGAGATGAGTCTTCAGTAAAGACTTAAAGGTCGAGACCGAGTCGGCGTCTCTCACATGGATAGGCAGACCGTTCCATAAAAATGGAGCTCTATAGGAGAAAGCCCTGCCTCCAGCTGTTTGCTTAGACATTCTAGGGACAATAAGGAGGCCTGCGTCTTGTGAGCGTAAGTGTAGGTATGTACGGCAGGACCAAATCGGAGAGATGGGTAGGAGCAAGCCCATGTAATGCTTTGTAGGTTAGCAGTAAACCCTTGAACTCAGCCCTAGCCTTAACAGGAAGCCAGTGTAGAGAGACTAGCACTGGAGGAATATGATCAAATGTTTTGGTTCTAGTCAAGATTCTAGCAGCAGTGTTTAGAACTAACTGAACTTTATTTAGTGCTTTATCTGGGTAGCTGGAGAGTAGATCATTGCAGTAGTCTAATCTAGAAGTGACAAAAGCATGGATTAGCTTTTCTGCATCATTTTTGGACAATGTTTAAGATTTTTGCGAAGATGGATAAAAGCTGTCCTTTAAATATTCTTGATATGTTCTTCAAAAGAGAGATCAGGGTCCAGAGTAACGCCGAGGTCCTTCAGTTTTATTTGAGACGACTGTACAACCATCAAGATTAATTGTTAGATCCAACAGAAGATCTCTTTGTTTCTTGGGACCTAGAACTAGCACCTCTGTTTTGTCCGAGTTTAAAAGTAAAACATTTTCCGCCGTCCACTTCCTTATGTCTGAAACACAGGCTTCCAGGGTAGACAATTTTGGGGCTTCACCATGTTTCATCGAAATGTACAGCTGTGTGTCATCCGCATAGCAGTGAAAGTTGACATGTGTTTCCGAATGACATCACCAAGAGGGAGAATATATAGTGAAAACAATAGTGGTCCTAAAACGGAACCTTGAGGAACACCGAAACGTACAATTGATTTGTCAGAGGACAACCATCCACAGAGACTAACTGATATCTTTCCGACAGATAAGATCTAAACCAGGCAAGAACTTGTCTGTGTAGAATAATTAGGGTTTCCAATCTCTCCAAAAGAATGTGGTGATCGATGGTGTCAAAAGCAGCACTAAGGTCTAGGAGCACGAGGACAGATGCAGAGCCTTGGTCTGACACCATTAAAATGTAATTTACCACCTTCACGAGTGCAGTCTCAGTACTATAATGGCGTCTAAAACCAGACTGAAGCGTTTCATATTTGTCTTCAGGAAGGCAGTGAGTTGCTGCGCAACAGCTTTTTCAAAGAATGTTGAGAGGAATGGGAGATTTGAAATAGTCTGAAAGAGGAGTCCGTAATTTGCTTTCTATTGATCATGATCTTTTCGTTGAAGAAGTTCTCTTGATTTCCCCCTGCAGAATCTTGCAAACGGCTTTCCAAAAGTCTCAAAGACGTTTCCTTATAGCTCCTGATCAGCATTTTCACCTGACAGACAGGTACCTCAGCAGAAAAATTACCCAGTCTGAATATTTAATAATCCTGTGCTGTATTTGTGTCCTCTGCCAGCCGCTATGAGGAGGACATGTACTGGAGGAGGATGGAGGAGGAGCAGTTGTACTGGGGGGAGCAGAGACACAGAATGGCCCCCCCTCCGCTCATGAGCCGGCCCGGCATGCCAGTGCCCCCCCTACTGGTGAGAATCAATGATTCAATCAATCAATCATTGCTTGATTTACATGAACTTGACCACTAGAGGAAAAACTGGTGTTTTAGCTTTTCAGTTTGTTTCCAGAAGTGGCTAGTTTTAAGAGGGAACTTGGTTTTATTGAGCTCTTCTCCCCTTAGCAGCCTATGCGTCGGCCGGACTCCCCAGACGACCGCCACATCATGGCCAAACACTCCACCATCTACCCTGTGGAGGAGGAGCTGCAGGCGGTGCAAAGGATCGTCTCCCACACTGAGAGAGCCCTCAAACTGGTGTCTGACTCCCTGCTGGAGAAAGAGCCTCCCGCTGCTGTGACAGAGGCTGTGACAGAGGCTGTGACAGAAGCTGATGCTGGAGAGAAAGTGTAAGAGCTGTATGGGTCTGTACTAGTGTTCTACATCATTCACACTCTCACTTCCACACACAATGTTCTACATCATTCATACTCTCACTTCCACACACAATGTTCTACATCATTCATACTCTCACTTCCACACACAATGTTCTACATCATTCATACTCTCACTTCCACACACAATGTTTTACATCATTCATACTCTCACTTCCACACACAATGTTCTACATCATTCATACTCTCACTTCCACACACAATGTTCTACATCATCAATACTCTCACTTCCACACACAATGTTCTACATCATTCATACTCTCACTTCCACACACAATGTTCTACATCATTCATACTCTCACTTCCACACACAATGTTTTACATCATTCATACTCTCACTTCCACACACAATGTTCTACATCATTCATACTCTCACTTCCACACACAATGTTCTACATCATCAATACTCTTACTTCCACACACAATGTTCTATACAAAACATGTATATTTGAATGTTCCGTAACGCTGATCCCTCGTGGTGTGGGCCATGGGCATGTAGCCTGATCTGTAGCTTTTTCTTTACTTATCCCTGCTGGTCCTCTGATCCCTGGTGTATAGACCGGACAACCAGGCAGCCCGTATGCTGAAGGGGGTGATGAGGGTGGGCATCCTGGCCAAGGGCCTGCTGCTCCATGGGGATAGGAACGTGGAGCTCATTCTGCTAGCTGCCAAGAAGCCCACCCTCTCTCTGCTGAAGGACATCGCTGAGCAGCTACCCAAAGAAATGGCGGTAAGACCACTGTCAGCTTTCCTTTAGTGGAATCACTGTCTTTTAGGATCCACTTGTTTATGAGATGGAGGTGGGATTTTCTACATGCAGTTGGATTACACACCAGAAATATTAATCACATCAACCATTATAAGCAACTTTTCCCCCATCATATTTGTTAGGCAGTGTCACATCGCTATTTGGTCAAAAGAGGAAATCTGATAATTTAATGACAAACCACAACTCTTTACTTCATGTCATGAGGTTGTCATCAGGGCTAAAGTAAAATAAATCTGCACCAAGAATGGAGGAGGAACTTATTGTAAGATCACACAATCATTAATGATTAAAGGAGAGTGGATACAGATGGACATCAAGGCTATTCAAGACGAACAGTCAAGGAGAGGACCTATACCAAACGGATTTGGGTTAAAAAAGTACTTGTTTTCTTTCAAATTCTTTGGCTGCGCTTGATTGAGCAATGAGCTTGTCTGGCACAATGGAAACAATGGAATAGTACAAAAAATAAAACCCTTGCTGAATTTTCACAAGTGCAAATTCTGCACATCTGGCACTCCAAGCAGGTTCATTAAACGTTCAAAGTATTTGAAAGAAAACAAATACTATTTGAACCTAGGTCTTATACCAAATAAACGTGTAGATTAAACCATGGTGTGTGAGTGTTGCATTTCCTTCCTCCCTCCTGAAGTTCTGGTACAATAAGTGTTTCATTAGGAGTGCATTTGACTGATCTTTAGTGCCACTGCCTGGTTATGAGTTATGACACCTGAACCCTACAGAGAGAGTGGGGCTATAGTTAAAATGTACTCCCCTAAGGTTACATAAAGCCATTGGGGGGGAAAAAGCATTTGTGCCCATTTATTGACAATTACTGTCAAAAAAATAATCTACATTTGTCCATTTGCACAAGGTTATCTAAATTGGCCCTTTTAAAAGCTAAATGGAACTATTGAGAAATAATTTGATTATCTGGGGAAAAATACATTAATCCAGTGCCCTATCAAACTAATCCCCCCTCCCAGTCCATAAAGATAACCCCCTCCCCTCCTCTGTAGTGAGTAATCCAGTGTCCTTTTAACCGGCAGCCATTTTCTGAAGATCAGTATGAGGTGATGTCTCACCCTGAGGAAGCCAACATCGTGATTTTTTCGAGCAAGGAGCCAAAAATGCAGGTCACCATCTCTCTAACCTCGCCACTGATGAGGGAGGACCCTGCCCCTGAGAAGGAGGAAAAGGCAGGAGACAAAGCGGCTGAGAAAGGTTAGAGAAGCCAAGCTTTCAGTCCAATAAATGCACTGTATGTCCCCCAAACCTCAAGCTCAACAAAAAAAGAAAAAATGGGACATTTTAACCAAGCACATATTGACTATTTCATCCAAATGTGGTAGATATCGTAGAATAATACTTTTGTTTTTCCCATCCCGGCCCCTGATGATATGAAATGAATTGACTCACCATTCGTTTCTGTCTCTTGTTTTAATTTATCCATTATTTCCAGTACCAGTAGTCCCGTTTTTCACTTTCCTTTGTCCGATATGGAAATCTAAAGCAGGGCTCTCCGACCTTTCTATGCCATTAAGGTTTGTGTGTATGTTTCTCTGAACATGCCCAGATAGGCCCTGTGAAACCATGACAACAATGGAAGTACTGAACTATGTGAAGATGATGCCCAGGGATAAGGGCATTATCACTTTTTTCTGAAATTAAGTAATTACATTATTTTGTTACCATTGATCTCCATGTCTAATTCTGTCATCATGTAATTGGTCAATAGTTGCTAAGGGATTTCACAAGGTCCCATGACCTGCCCACACTTCCATCTCTCATGCCTGCAAACTGAAACGGCATTATCAAAGTATTGATTGACAAGGTGTTGGAGTGTAATTCTATCCCCACACAATGGTCTCTATTGAAGTTGGGACTAGATTGGTGAATTGATTAGGCTGCGATGCCATTCAACCCCTGTTGCATTGCAGCACACTCTTAGAACCATTGTGAGATGTAAAACACTCCCTCACCTAATTTGAGCTGATTTCACCTTTTTCTATTACTGTATATACCCTACTTGGAAAACAAATTATATTTCCCATTGCTTAAGTTGTGTTTGGGTTTGTTGATCAGTGTGTCTGCCTGTATCAGCAGACCTAAACAACATACAGTATGTACATGTATATCCCCCTGTAACAGAGGCGAACGCAGGGGTGGGCAATATTTTTTGCTCAAGGGCCACATCGGGATTTCAAAATTCAGTGGAGGGCCACGCAGATTTTTTTCCGGACCGATTTGTTTGTCAAAAGCAATATGCGGGCCAGAAAAAGGGCAGTTATTTGAAAACGTATAGGTCCATTATAATTTCTACATACTTTCTATCTAGTTTTAGATGCTCAATAAGCACCCCCCCCCCCCCCACACACACACACACACACACTTAATGTTTTACTCAAACCTCCCGCGGGCTGGATTGAATGGGCTCGCTGGCCGGTTCGCTGGCTGTAGTTTGCCCACCCCTGAGCTAACGTCTACCACGCTTGCCACAACAGTCTCTAGGAACATGAAAGTATGGAAAGCCCCATGGTACTGCTTACTGTAGCTTATCTTGTGAAATTACATTTCGCCACCGCTCTAAATGACTAAGAAGTTACCATTTGGCATTCCATATGTCTATTCAGTTCAATATGTCTGTCTATTGATAAATAGTATGACATGGCAATGGATGCATTAAGAACATCAAGTCCCAAATCAGAATTCCTTCAGTTCCCAACTTCAACGCAATACAGTATAGGCACATTGTCTTACCATGGAAACGATTCGTGGTAAGACTGACGTACAGTAATCATTTTGTTGAATTATCCTGTTTGTCATCTTTTGTTAAACACATCCAATGCAAATACTTAAAATATTTCATTATCTCTCTGTTGTTATTACCGGGCCATAACCCATCAAACTATGTGAAACAGTACTGTAGGTGGCTCTGCTGGACAGTCATATGAGTGATCGATCAGTAATCAATGAGCCAGTGTGTCCTTTCTCTCCTACTCTAGGGGTGCCTGAGAAGGACCCTGCTGATGTTTTGAACCAGAAGAAGTGCCTGGAGTACCTAGCTGCTCTGAGACACGCCAAGTGGTTCCAGGTAAAGACAATATGTACAATGGCTCACTTCAAAGTAGCCAGAATCCCGGATCGTGACGATGACAGCGATGGAGTTGGCAAGACGGTACAAACCGATCTGGGACTCAGGCTAACTCCAAAGTATTCCAGGCTAGCCTGTCTGTTTAACACTACTGTAACGTGTGTGTGTGTGTGTGGTATCTACAGGCTCGTGCCAATGGTCTTCAGTCCTGTGTGATCATTATTAGAGTGTTACGGGATCTCTGCCAGCGAGTGCCAACCTGGGGCAAGATGCCATCCTGGGTGAGGATGTTCTGTCTCAGTGTTCAGCTTTTCTAATGAAGCTCATTGATGATAATTGACGTTTTCCGTTGTGTGAATTGTCTTACGTGATGTGTGTGTGTCCTTTCCCTGTGTTCAGGCTATGGAGCTGCTGGTAGAGAAGGCCATCAGCAGTGCCACGGGGCCCCTCGGCCCAGGGGAAGCCATGCGTAGGGTCCTGGAATGTATCGCTACAGGCATCCTACTGCCAGGTGAGGGAGTTGTAGTATTAGTTAGTATCAGCTAGTATTAGTTAGGCAGGGTGGGATCACCCCACATCTATTAGTTAGGTAGGGTGGGATCACCCTACATCAAATTGGTCCCGTGTGGCTCAGTTGGTAGAGCATGGTGTTTGCAACGCCAGGGTTGTGGGTTCGATCCACACGGGTGACCAGTACGAAAATGTATGCACTCACTACTGTAAGTCGCTCTGGATAAGAGCGTCTGCTAAATTACAAATGTAAGAAAATGTACTGTAGCTTGGTTTTTTACCCACCTAGAGCACCTTTGTTCTCTAGCGCTTCCCACTGGTCATTCAGGGTCCAAGCGGTTAAAAGAAAGGGGAAACTTGCAGTTTGCACTGTACAGTGTGCTTTGTCAGCGGTATACATAGCTCTGAACATGAAGTAAGTTGTTCAGAGTGGTGGTATGTAAGCAGTGAGTGGAACAATCTAAATAATGAGAGAGAGAGAGAGAGAAAAACACACTTGACTGATTTTGTCTTCCTCTTTCTTCTCTTAGACGGTCCTGGGCTGCTGGACCCCTGTGAGAAACACCAAACCGATGCTCTAGGGAGCATGACCAAACAAGCCAGGGAAGACATTACTGCCAGCGCACAGGTACGATCACTCTCACCATGTGATTGGTATAATCACCTGTAACATTTGGAGGTCTACCACCTTAGACTGGGAACCTGCGCTGCATACAGAAGACATTGAATATGAATTTCAGTAAAGAAATCATGGATAAGGTGTGTGTGTGTATATGTATATATATATATATATATATATATATATATATATATATATATATATATATATATATATATATATATATATATATATATATATACACACACACACCCTTTAAACCCTCTATGTTCCTTTGAGAATGCTCTTTCAAACTCACTGAGATCTCTTCTAATATTGAGTTGCACACTTTTGCCCTCAGAACAGCCTCTATTCGTCAGGGCATGGACTCTACAAGGTGTTGAGCGTTCCACAGGGATGCTGGCCCATGTTGACTCCAATGCTTCCCACAGTTGTGTCAAGTTGGCTGGATGCCCTTTGGGTGGTGGACCATTCTTGATACACACGGGAAACTGCTGAGCGTGAAAAACCCAGCAGCGTTGCAGTTCTTGACACAAACCGGTGTGCATGGCACCTACTACCATACCCCGTTCAAAGGCACTTACATTAGTCTTGACCATTCACCCTCTGAATGGGGCACACACAATCCATGTCTCAATTGTCTCAAGGCTTAAAAATCCTTCTTTAACCTGTCTCCTCCCCTTCATCTACAATGATTTTGAAGTGGATTTAACAAGTGACATCAATCAAGGGATCATAGCTTTCACCTGGATTTACCTGTTCAGTCTATGTCATGGAAAGAGCAGGTGTTAAGGTTTTGTACACTCATATCCATCTAACTTAAACCCCTAGTTATTATGCTAGCTCTGGTTACACTACATTCGTCTTTGATTTTCACCCATTGATATGTGTGAGAATGGAATGTGTTTGAAGTCCACTGATCCTCCTCTCGTCTCTCTGGTTCCAGCATGCTCTGCGACTGCTGGCGTTCCGTCAGATCCACAAGGTTCTGGGAATGGACTCCCTGCCGGCGTCCAAGGCCAGCGCTCGGAACCGCAAGCGCAGACGGGACGGGAGCGAGACGGGAGAAGGAGAGGGGGAGGGCAAGAAAGACAAGAAGGAGGATGCAGAAGAGATGGATGCTTGATCTCTGACAGAGCAGCATTAGCTTGGATGACCGTCTGGTTCTGCTTCTAATGCTGGCATGAGAATGATAGAGTAAAACAGAAACATATCGCCACCCAGGCTAGAGCAGGTTAGTAGTCTATACAGGCAGAATGTCACATCCTTTACGTTTCTTTTTAAATTCTCAATCTATATGAATATAACTGACTTAGTCGTAACATTTCTGTCTCCCCTAGAGGGAATGGGAGGGGAAAGGTAAAGATTATTTACTGTAATTCTCTCCCATGCACACTGTACTGTAACGTACTGTAGATGTACTTCAAATCGTGCTGAAAATTGACTCTTCAAATCGTGCTGAAAATTGACTTTAACGTCACTGACTGACTGAAGTTTCTAGGAGCTAATGACTGATAGCCTGATCCCAGATTTTTATGTGCTTCATGACAACGATTGTCAGAGGAGTTTGCTGAAGCACATACTGATCTGGAACAGGCTAAATGATTGCATCATTCCATTTCCCGAATATTTGCCCACTCAGCTTCTGAAGCCCTCCCATTTACAGTACCTGTACCAACCACTGTTCCTTACATTGTTTTCTATGTACTGTAAGGACTGTTTCATAGAAGCCTACATTTTAATGAAGAACTTGTAGCTTTTTCGCCCTGCTATTCTTATTGAAGAGAAGCTTTAATCCTTTACTGTACAGGCCAGTTATCATATACTGAAGACTGCAGGAGTTCCTCATTTAGGTGCATGTATTGAAATTAGTTTTGTGGAATAGGATGGGTTTTGCTGATGGGTCTAACCCTAATGTCTCGTCCAAAACTGAGATTTGCAATATGATTAGGAAAAAGTGGTATGTCATGGAATGAAGGGTACCGTAACAGTTTTCCTTGGGTTGGGTTTATTTTCATCCTGCCGACAGCTAGCAGCACCCAAGTAATCATCACTTCAGAGCGCAGCTGCACAGGAACAGATCATAATGCCCATGGTCAATTTGGTTTGACATTTGATATCACTAGTTGGGGACCATCAGTAAATTACACAATGTACATGGGACAACATTTAAATATGTCAATAGCTCCAAATTTCAATGACTTAACCTCAAACCAACTATACAATGTATAAATTAATATACAAATATTGAAAGCATTTAAAGAGAACAGGTGTGCAACATGAAGTTATTGTCCCATTTATATTGTGTAATTTATTGACAGTCCCTAACTAGCTCCACAGATGGGCTATCCAAAGTCAACCCAACTTTGCCAGAGTCGCACACCAGGCGGCTGAAGTGAGTTAGTGAAAGAAGTTGGCTAACTTGCTAGCTAGTCTAGACTACTTCGAAACATGGTTAGACTATTTCAATTTATCCAGAAGGGTGAGTGAATGTAACTGTACTGTTTTGGCATAGGGAAGGTACAAATGCTTCCCACGTTTGAACACACACTAGACACCCACATCAGAGCACGCCTCTGAAACCGTTGTCGCATTTCCTACTGAGGAGACTTGAAACCAAGGCTAAATCAGTAAGTTCAGCCCCCCTTTAATGACAGACATGAGTACATTAAAGTAAGTTAAACATGTACAGTTAATTGTGCCTAAATTACAGGCAATGACAAAAAAATGCAAAAGCTGTAACGTAAAGCACTGTGTAGTCTATATAAAGATGCCTATAAATTTGTCAGACACCTGAAAATAAAAAAATATAGCTTTTTGCAAGATGTGATTGCACCACAAAACGCTTTTAAGGAAAATGTTTTGTTTAAGAGGAGTTGACAGACCGCTCATATGCTGCACAGTTTACGTCTAGCATGCTACGAGAATAAAGCACTTCTGAAATGAATTATTTATTATATTTTTTTCATTTAAACTTGCCTATCAACAAACTTGTATTTTGTGGAGTGTGTTACCAGAGGAAAATGTATTGAGTGAGAACTGAAATGATCAAGGGTTATAGTCTTAAGACTTTCTTCCTTGTGCCTGCATGGTTTTGTGTATAGGAGATTTCTTGGATAGCGCTTTTCTAGGCACCCAAAGTGCTTTACATAGTAATGGGGAAGCTCACCTCATCCACCACCAATGTGTGGCACCCACTTGGGTGATGCACGGTCAGCAATTTGCACTAGAATGCTCACCACTCATCAGCTATCAGGTAGAGAGGCGAGGAGGAGTGATATATGCCAATATATATGGACTGATGGTTCTAAAAGGGGAACATTGTAATAAATCAATACTGTATCATGCAATATTTTGAACATCCATGTGATGAATGAGGAAAAATGCAGATATCTTTGTATTAAGGGTGTTGTAAAAAACTGCTTGTGCTTTTCACGTTGATTTTATTTACAAAGAGCACCGTTGTGGGCGCGGCGGTCTATGGCACCGCATCTCCGTGCTAGAGGCGTCACTACAGACCCTGGTTCGATTCCAGGCTGTATCACAACCTGTCGATTAATGCGAGTCCCATAGGGCGGCGCACAATTGGCCCTGCGTCGGCCGGGGTAGGCCGTCATTGTAAATAAGAATGTGTTCTTAACTGACTTGCCTAGTTAAAAAAAAGTAAATGCCTATTTTAATTAACTATTTTGTCTTTGGAGGGTGTTGCAATCGACTTTGTTTTGTTAAAAGGAGTGTTAACGTAGCTGTAATATTATTGGATTGTCTTTGTAGTGCTGCCTAAAACCAAGGATGGATATTAAAGATTTAACTCATGTAGGTCTACTTTTCTCATTGTGGGAATGAATAATTGATTATTTTTGACAGAACTGGCGCCCCACGCACCTTGTAAAATGTGTTGCCAGTCATGTCACAGAAAAAATGATCAGGGCTTCCACAAAAGAGCAACTGTATCCTATCACATCCTCTGGCATACTAAATATTCATGAATGGAAAGGAGGCAATCAGATGAGATGGGCTATTGTGAGTGATGATGAATAATAGTGTATGAAGCGCTGTCTAGTATTCGAAGATGCGTCTGCTTAGCGTACACACAACATTTTCTGTTCGTGACGTCTGACCTACTAAGGAAGAAGTAAGCAGCTATCTCTACCTCGATTTCCTTTTTTACGGAATAGTCTGCAAACGCAGTAATTGGTCACTGGCGTCCACCCATTCGAAACTGCAATGACAAATGTATCAAATCGTACAAATGCAGCATTATAGGTAAGTGACAGTTTAACCTGTGTTATGGCTTCAACTGCCTTCTCATTATCAGGAAATAGTGTTAGTTCATGTGTCTATTGACGGGTCACCAAATACCTGTATCGTCTTAGCGCTCTGAGCACATCTGTCCTTGGACCCTATTAGGAAACATTTTGCTTCATTGCTGAGCCACAGGTATACAGACTGCCACTGCCATATGATGTCCCACCCTCAGTGGTCAATGCTGTTGCCTACTTTGTTTTTGTCCTTTCTTTTAATCATTATATTGAACTGATCCTTCAAAAAGGGCTTCTTTTTCAGGAATGTATATATTTTAATGACTGGGAAAGGATCAGTGGTAGCCCACTGTGCACAGTTCAACGTCTAGCTTTGGTTGAGTTGTCAACTACGTGAAATTAACAAAATGTCACCATGTCACACTGCATTTAGGCAAAAAAGTTGGGTGAAAAAAATATGACATGCCCTTACGTTGATTACATTTGCAAATCCAATCAGTTTTCTACGTTGATTGAAGGTAATCACAATGTGTTGGTTTTTTTATGACGTGGAAACAACGTTGATTCAACCAGTTTTTGCCCAGTGGGAGGCTACTGTTACTCTTAAATAACATATTGTTTATTTAGCCTACTATTATTGCTATAAGTTTTCCAGATGATGTTTCGCTTAATGTGCTCTCCTTGAACAGGTGTTCTCGTTACTCATGAATTTACGTCCACCCAGGCATATTCTTGAGGATGGCAACGGTATGTATCCATTCTATGTTCTGGGTCGCTACACGATCACTTACTGTGAGTTAAAAGCCATCTTTTTGTCAGGACACTGGCTTGTTTATCTGTTAGTAGTGCGATTCATTCCCGCCTGAGAAATAACTGGTTATCGTAATTCATAATGGACGATCACCAGTATCTGAACTATAATGTTTTTTAGATGCACATGTTTAAGATACATTTCTTAATTTTAGAATTTTCAACCTTTCCCTTACAGAGGTGTTGGGCGTTTGGCACACAATGTGTTGCCAAGAGTGACCACAGCAAGCCCAAAGCTGGTGAACTGGCCTATCGCAAAGGAGACATCCTCACTATTGTGAAAACAGAAACGGTACATAATGATTTACTGCAGGGTTCCCTAAATGGCGGCCACAGGCCGAATTTTGCCCGCGGGTGATTTTATTTGACCCCCAAACCTTGCCGCTGCTCTTTGTGCACTGTCTGCTTTGGTGTGGGCTCTATAAATATACTTGACTTGAGATAAAATTGATCTATTTGCACTATTCTACTGAAAGCTATTCTGGTGCTGTTTTCTAGGGCAAAGAACGTTACAAGGCTAGACACAACACAACAGGAGAGGAAGGACTCATCTCAGCCACCAACATGAGAGAGCGAGAGGCCATTCGCGTCGACCTCAGTCTTATGCCGTAAGTCTAAGGCTATGCGTCTGGATTTCATTCTTTTTCCTTTTTCCTTTGTCCCCTGTCATATGACTGACTACCATGTATTGTGTATTTTAGTTATTTGTGGTTGTTTCCATTTCCCTTTTTGTTCTTCTCCATAGTAGCCACACTGTCTTCTACTGAAGGACTGATATGTACACTTCCTCATAGTGAAAATAAATAAATAAATAATTGTACTAGCAGTTTATACTATAATTGAGATAGAGAATTTGTTCCAGTTTGATAAGCTTAGAGCTAGGGCCATGTGATTTTCTGACCATGTGACTTGACCAGAACAAAACCCTTGGCCCTGTGGAATACACTTTGTGGAATGTCTCTTTTTTAATTACTTTTACTAATTATTTTTTGGGCCATGTCAGCTGGTTCCATGGGAAGATCTCGGGTCCCGAGGCGGTATCCAAGCTGCGGCCTGTAGAGGATGGCCTGTTCCTGGTGCGGGAGTCCATCCGCCACCCTGGTGACTATGTGCTCTGTGTCGGCTACTCCAGCGAGGTCATCCACTACCGAGTCATGTACCAGCACAGCAAACTGACCATCGACAACAACCAGTACTTCTACAACCTCATAGACATGATAGAGGTGAGGCGGAGATAGATTAGTTATTTAGTTTGTAGAGTCACACGCTTGATGTAGTCATTGCGGGCTAGGAATATGGGACCAAATACTACATTTTTGTCTACTTTAACACACTATAAGTGAATTTGTACAAATACTTATGACTTCTTCAAATGGGGGGACTAGATACATAAAGTGTTTCATTTCTAAAAGGTAAAACCGATATGTATAAAAAATACCTTCAAATAAAAGGTGACATTCTGTACTATCAAATCAAATTT